CCGGCCCCCCAGATCGCATCCCCGGGCTGCGCAGAAGCGGCGTTGGGCGGGCAGCGTGGCGGGTGAGGCTGCTGCAGCCAGTGCCACGCAGACCTTACGGGGTGCTGGAGCCGCCGCCGTCGTCCACGGCAAAGGTGGGTGCGCGCCTTCTTTCCCCAAACACAGAAACGCACCCTATTCTGCAAGAGCTCATGCCCCCATAGCCCCGCTCCTGGCAGCGCGTGTGGTTCAGCTCCAAGAAAAACGCTAAAAGGCAGCGTAAGGAGGTTTCCCGCCACTCGTCTCTCACGGTCAACATTTCTGTATTTCAGAGAAAGGATGTGTAACAAAAGCAGCTACCAACAGCGTAAGAAAAAATATCTTTGTTATTATGAATATATCATAAAATCACAATCATTTTATACACATTTTAGTATTTCATATACTTATATAAATAAAGTGAACAGTATAGTTATTGGAATGTGTAATAGGAACAAACATACAGATTTTAATGTGAAATTAACAAATTCTTGGACCCCATCCCCGTCTTTTGTTGCTTCTCTGGGGCTTAGCGTGTTAACTCTGAAATACTTCAAGGAAGAAGGCTACTCAAGCTGTGATACCAACAATAACTCCAGGGATTACCTTAATTCCATTTACAATCAATTTTCCTCTCCTTTTCCTGGTTTAGCCTGACTACAATTCTTCTGTGTCAGTATTCCAGCTTTGCAAGAAAGACTAATGCTGTATATACTTGGCACAGTGTTGAAAGAAAACATTTTCCAAGCTTTACTATTTTGTTAAACCCATTAACAATCAGCATTTTGCCATCACTACACACTCTTGCAAATGTTTCCATTAAATATATTTCTAATATTAATAAAATAACAAACTCTTTATTATCCTTCTGCTTATAACTTGATGTCTTAACATCAAAATAATATTTCTTTCTAATAAAATTATACGTAGTATTTATATGTAACGAAGTTGTCATGTGCGTCAGCCTATTAATGAGACTAGGCATGAGTGTAGATGTTTCTATGTTCTTATTTTGGATTCTGGGAGGGTTGTTATTTTTGGGGCTGCAGAGTAATAAATAATTTACAAGGTAATGACTTCCCTGGCTCCCTGGTAACCAAGCTTAAAATTGGAAATGATTCCTCTGGTCTGGCTTTATAAAACTTTGGGTATGCTGACAAAAATGTCAGTTTTCTGTCTGAGTGTCTGTATGTGTTTATCCAGAAATCTTAATGACATGTTTCTGATATGATGTGTTATGAAAGTTGTCATACAATTAATCAGAAATAAAATGAGAAAGGTCTATGCAAAGATGCTAGCAGGATGCAGACAGAAGGCTGAACCTTCCCAGCCAGCTGTGCTCAGAGGGGCTCTCCCTGCTGGAGGAATTCCTGTGTCTTCTGGAGTGCACTTGTCTTTACTGTCAGGTCCCGCTCTTGCTCCTGGGACTCAGCCAACAGCTTTGGGGCAGGGAGTCTGGAAAGAGGAGGGTGAAGCACAAGGACAAACCCAAGGAGCATTTTCCTTCACCTTTGTTTATGGAGTAAGCACATCTGTTGTAAAAACCCAGCTCTGGGCTGGTGAAAACTAATGATGCAGACTCCAGAAAGGGAAGTTATTGAGGTTTCCATTCAGAAAGGCATGTAAACACGTGCCATATTTTGTGTTCATGAGTCTGTAGGACAGCTTTCTGTACTTACAGTGAGGCATGTATTTTATGTACTTTTCTGGTCCAGTCTCAGAATTTAGCTTCCCTGGATACTTATTCACAGCAGGGCAATTGTCACCTACCCCTGAATTTGATGGTCAAACTGTAGGAACTTCTCATTTGGTATTTGTCTATATTTGGAAAAGCAGAACTTAGAACTAAAATAAGTGCCTTTTTTAGAACACATCTTCTTGTGGGCAGGGGGCAATAGAATTTAGTTGGTATGTAGGAAGTGACTCATCTAACTCATTATTCAGTATCTAATGGTCAAAAAACCTGCAGCTACTCATTCTATAGTGGGAATCAACCTGATCCAGCAGGTGATGGAGTGTGGTGGTAAACATATGCAAGAGTTACAAATATAACATTCGACATTTAACATTCATATTCATGAACAATGTTATTTATAACTAGTTGCCTGCTTGAAATTACGAAAATAAATGCCTCAGCTCATGCTGTCTTAAGAGGTTTCTTTCAGCCTTCTGCGTATAAGACCATCCCTCTTTCAGCCACAAGTTCCTTCCCAAATCTCACCAATTTCCTTATTACTTGGTTCAGAAGACTACTTGGATCTGGAGCTGCTGGGAGAGCTCCTCCCAGAGGAGAAGCCCAAAGACCACAGGGTTAGAGCACTATCATTTTTTCTAAGCTACACCAGTGACTTAGTCATTGCTCTGTAAATATTGATATACACATAATATGAAGAGGAATACAGAACAGTAATGTTCTTAAAGCTAATGCCCTTGCTTGTGGCATAGTGATAGCGAAGAGTTGGGACACGATTACAGTAATGAACGCATCCTCTTAAGATAATATACAAAAGATACGAAAGGTCTAGACAGCCAGCTGTTTATACAACATGACCTGTACCGGTGGTGTAGGGATTACACCAACTATCTTTTGGCCCAGAGACTGTGGAAGGGAATCCAAACCTTTGCAGGTTATCTGAAAAGGGCCTGCTTATATTTTTACCTGTATTTATTCTATTAGAACATGCAAGCCCTGAAAAACATGGCAAAATAAGAAGTTTTTCTTTGCATTTGTAACATGGACATGACCCAGCACTAAACATACTGTAGAAGTAGCAGCTACACAGACATTGAATTGAAGCTTTGTGCATAATATACTCCTTTATCTTCTAGGCATGGTCCTCAGCAGCTGGGGTAATCCAAAAGAAATGGTAATGTACATCACCCGTGAGGTATGGTCTAACTTGTGCATCCAATTTTCCAGTGTAAAAAAAGGGCACTCCTTTTTATCCCTCTTCACAAATATAGGATCCCATGTGCAGTACCTCACCTTAGCCATCCTCGTACCAGTTGAAATGTTTTGTCATGTGCACACCTGCACCTACTCATACTCCTCACGTACCCATCCAAATACGCTGCAACTCTGTGTTCCAGTTCCATGAATGCCATTTAGGTCGCTCTCATGCAGCAGAGAAACAAAACAGATGGAAGCTCTTTGCAAACGTGAGGCCTCTCTCTGGTCTCCATTTCACTTGGACTTCAGCATTTCACCACGGAAGATATGCATCTGCAGGTGATCAGAATCCAACTCTTTCTGCAAGGCTGGGATTGATTTCGTGCTTGCCAGTAAGCCTACTCGATTCACTTATGCTTGGTTTTCCTGCTTCATGTATCCCCTGTTCTCTTGCTCATCTTTGTGCAATGTATCCAGCATGAATCCTGTTGAGGAAGGGAACTGGCCTTCACACTGAGCAGTGGGAGAATGGTAAGGGAAAAGTAGCGTTAGTTTAGGACAAACACATCCTTTCGACTCTTTGAACAATACTCTAGCAATGCAAAGCCAAATAATTTCCAGATCAACAAGAAGCACCCTTCCATCAGTGCTTCACCATATTTTTTTTGCCTGTTTCTGCCATGGTGCAGCATAATAGAAGGAAGACATTTCACTTACAGCTGGCCTCTGCTGTGCAACAGGGATCCGCTTTTCACTCTCCTAAGCCTGGGGTCAGTAGCTGGAGACTTGAGTTCAGTGATACAATACATTTACATGTATAATGTAACTGTGGACCAAGGTTTTCATTATTGATGCTATTCAGGGATGATGTTCAGCTACCCCTCTACCCCTGGCAAAATTTGGGTACTGGGTCATTTGGACATAGAATGCAAGGTAGGCAGATGAAATGCTGTGGTCTGCGCCATTAGCTAGAGCATGCCTTAAACGTATTATATACTAAGAAGGTTTTCTTGATAGTCTAGGTACAATGCACAGTGCAGGCTTGACAGTATGGAGTTACTGCAAGGAGGCTACCATGAATCAGGAAAGCTACAGTACAGGCAGCATGGTTGGGGAAAAGCATAGAGAAAATTGAGAATTTTTTTTTTTTTTTTACATTGTCAGTGCATTTTTATATTGAACAACTCTAAAAGGGCTCTATTTTTCAGTAGGCGTAGCTAAGGATGGGCTGCCTTCTGTATCCTGGAGTCTCTGGGTGCTGCCCGTGGTTTGTAGTCTTCTCCAGATCCAAAATCTACCGTGTCATGATAGTTTGTAAATTCCTGAGGTAATGGAAACTCCTCTGTTGATTAATGAGTCCTGTGTCCAAACACTCTCTCTTGCAGCTCAGCAATATCATTTCTGATGTCTGCCATCATCAGCAACAGGAAATCAAATGAACCTGGTGGGCCCTGCAGTCACAAGACATGGTAATTAATAATAATCCACTTTGCTCTTACAGTTTTCAAACAGGTTGATATGATTACTCTTGCAGGGGTAACTCAGTAAAATGCTGCTTCATATTGATTGCCAGAAATTAAACAGAGCCTATGTTTACAAGATGCTCAGCCCTTTTGTTACTTAACAATTCCTTTCCTCTGTTTGCTTCCTAAGAGTATCTTCACACCTCATGGGAACAGAGGAGATAAATCTTGGTTCCCTGTGTTCCTTCTTATTAAACTGGTAGAAATTGCATTCTTAGAACGACTAATTAATCAATAATTATTATTTATTTAAAAAAATGTATCAAAAATCCCAATATTTGGAAGGTATCTTTTCAATATAGTAATGCTGCTGCTGTCCATCACTTACTAAATATATTGGTTATTACAATGCAGAGAGTATTCATCTGGTTTTATGTGATTTTAGAAAATCATAATTTCTTTTTAGCTGACGTCACACTGTTTAATACTGAGGACACCCTACTGGACACACTCTTAAAAATCCATTCCACCAATGAGAAAACACCATAAGAAATAAATTTTTAAACAATTTCACCAGAAAACAGATTGTAAATACTCATCCTCCTCCTGATGACTTGCTCAAAGCCTATAGCTTCCCAAATCCCAGAGAGAGACGAGGGCCAGGATTTTAAAAGGTTCCAGGGATCCAACTCCCATTAGGAGCGGTGGCTGAACTGTACTAACTAGCATGCTGCAAGGGATCTCATGCTGCTGCCTTCTGAGGATGTCCCACCGCTGTTGTAGGGCAGAGGTGCACTGACTGCCTTCAGTGTCACGCTCAGCTAGGGAGGAGGTGTGTAGGCAAAAACACTTGGACGAAAACATGTAATTACTTTCCTTCCAATAATATTTTCTGTGCATGTAAAGTATCTTTCACTGTGCTCTTGA